CAAACAATGGGGATATCCTTCAACGCAGGAGATCTTCCTGCGTTGAAGCAGGCGCAAAGCTTGCGCAGGAGAATTAGATTAGGGGGATACAACTACAACTGATACTTATTTTGCTTTAACACTAGGTCACTAGTTAGTATATAAACATATATAAGCATATATAAACATATATAAACATATATGAACATATATGAACATATATAAACATATATAAACATATTTGAACATATATGAACATATATAAACATATATAAACATATTATATAAACATACATGAACATATATAAACATATATAAACATATATATACATATATAAACATATATAAACATGTATCAATCAACTATAATTTTCATGGGATTTTAACATGATTTAACTATCGGTTGAGTAGGATATCACTCTAAGACCACATAATTATAGGGGGCCTCACCTTGCTTGGTCACCTCTTAAGGTTTGAACAAATCCATCATCCATTTTAAGATGCCACAAATTGAGGGATAGCATATACTATTCTTTTTGGGACTTATTAATGTCATATCATGTCATATCATATCGTTGATATGTCCAATCAAATCCCATATTCTATCACATCTTTTCATCACTATGATATGTCATTTAAAAAAACACTTCTTTTCCATTATTTTCACTGATTTTCAACTATGTTCATGTATTTGTTCATGATGCTCACAACATGTGAACACTCATTGTCCGTGGTATTTTCCATGGTTTACCATGATTTTCTATGTATTTTTCACCTTTTCCACTTGTTTTCCACATCAACGTCCCCCTTTTTGTCCTCCTTTTTTCCCTGAACATTTCACCGCGAAGCGTTCGCCTTGTCATCGCAGGCGGCGCAGATGGAGGAGCTCCGCCAGATGCTTCGAGAGCTCCAAGGGCTGCGCCAGCGAGGCGTGTTGGTGGGTTTGAATTGGTTGAGCCTATTATTATAATAGTGGTTTGAATAGTGGGTTAATATTCCAGGAATAATGATTAATTTCATTATTAATAGTTAAACTATCATCATTAGTAGTTTAACGATTAATCCCACACTATAAATGGGTGATTAATAGTTGAGTTAAACTAAACCACCAATCGTGAATAGTTCAATGATGATTTAACCAGGATTTAACAGGGTTTTACAAGGATTTCACCAGTGGTTAACTAGGATTATGCAGAAACCCCATCAAACTCAAGCCCCATCAAACTGTGCCTCAAAAGGCGGAGACCCTAGAACTTGTCATCTCAAGAAAAAGGACAAAGCTTTGGATTTTAGTGTTCAAACTTTCACACAACTCCAAATATTGACAAAAACTGGATGGTACTCGTAGAGGCAAGAAGGCGAGCCGAAATGGGGATAGCTGGTTGGTGGTTTCAATTGGTTTTGCAGCACAATGTGGGATACATTTCGATATCCGCCCCGGTTGACGATCATAGTTCTGGGGTTGGAACTCTCATCACCAAAGCTGCTGACCGGATGCGCGAGCCTAAAGTTGTGCTAGTCCTTGCAAAAAACAAATTTGGCTTGGATCAAAATACCCTCTGGTAATTTAACATAGCTATTGAACATCACCTTTGTTTAATGGGTAAATCAACTATAAATGGGCCATGTTCAATAGCTATGTTAGTTTACCAGAGGGTACCAGATTTGGGGCGAACGCCATAAAACCCCAGCACACTTGGGATGAGAGTACCGTACCGGGAAGTGACCTTCCTGGCCGTCAGCGCAGGCGATATGGAGGATTGGAGCAATATCGAGAGCACAGACGAAGGCCAGGGTGTGATCTGGGGATGGGCTAAGTTACTATTACCATATGAATGGGGGAAGAACATCCATTAGCAAGCTATTTTAAGGTACCCTCTGGTTATGTCAACATAGCTATTGAAAATGGCCATTGATAATGGATTTACCCATAAAAAATGGTGAATTTCCATAGTTATGTTAGTTTACCAGAGGGTACCCAGGGTACCAGGGTTTTGACCCATAGCCATCCATGGTTTGGCAATCACACATGGACATGGTCCCAGAATTCCTGCAGGATGGGGCCACCAAGATAGCGTTCAGTTGACATATAAGTGGCTTAACTATGGTTTATGGATGTTTGTGGTAGATATAGCTATAGTTAATGGGGTTTCTAAGTTTCTAAGCCAACAAACAGAAAACTGGGGGGCACCATCCTGTGCAGATCCATTGAAATGAACACAATCACCGTTTGAAGATGAGGTTCCCTTGAAAAATGATAGTGTTTTCCTAGACAGGTTTGACTCCTAGTGTGCTGGGATGCTGCTCAAACACAGAGAGATGATCTGAGATACCCAGTATGTTGGTAATGATGAAACCAAACTATGGGATATGCTGCGGTATTATCCCATAAAATGGATCGAAGCGCACCCGGAACAAGCAATGATGGGATATGTTGTGGGTATCTTGAATTAACCGAAAGACCGATATAGAATTCAATCATGCATATGTAGCGAACCAAACATAAAATGATTTGACCGGGCGAAGAAAAAGGGGTTCATCAGACAAGAACAGCCTGGGTGAAGTCCGAACGATGATGTTCAAGCAGACAAGGGGCCCAGATACGCAATACCCTTTGGTAATTTCACACAGCTATGGAAAAAAATGGTGATTTTCCATAACTGAGAAACTGTGTTTGTTTACTGGAGGCTATCACAAAAATTATCTTGACTGATATCCATGGACCATGGATATTGTCCAAAAACCGCTGGAAGATGACCCCACATAGATATTTTATGATATTTTTATAGGAATATGATGATCAACCAGGGGAATTGGGGGTACCCGGTACTACCTGGGTAGCGATTTTTTTCAGGGTGTCCAAACTTCGAAGCCCAGGATCATCCCCAATGCTTGGACAAAGCCATACATCCCCCTGGTTGATTCATGTTGATTCTATATCCCATTAAATTCTACTTTATCCCGACAAAATGGTTGGTTTAAAATCCACCTTTTTGTTGGTTAGACCCCGAAATATAGCCATTTCCAGATGATCTTCCCATTGCTCAGGGCCATAGTTTGGGGGCAAATTAATTCGATTAATAGCCCATATTTGCTGGTCAAGTCTCACTATGGTTAAGTTCAACTAAGTGTGAGTTTTGATCATTTCAGCTTTCCCTATTCAATTACATGGAATCCCATTCAAATCCCATGATATTCAGAATTCCTATCAAGCCATCTGTTGACTTAGCGGCTAAGCGTCAGGGCCAGGTGCCGATGACAGACTGCAGGAGGACGACAATTCCATGGGGATATCATGCAAGGTGGTGCTCCAGTTCGTTGGCTGAGGTGGTTTATAACTACTATACTATACGGATCTATACGGATTGGTGGTTTGGAACATGAATTTTATTTTCCCATATATTGGGAATAATCATCCCAACTGACGAGCATATTTTTCAGAGGGGTTGAAACCACCAACCAGTATAATTGTTGGATTTATAGGATATATACATATATAATATATAATACATATTTCTGTACTTGTTGTGCCTCCAAACGGCAGGTAAACCAGTTGATTTATAGAAGCATATTTCGGGGGATGAAGATCCATAAATTTCATGACTGTATTTTTCCAGGTATTTTTGGTGTAACAACCCAGGGATTCATGGGATACCATGGAGTCACAATCCAAATCAATAGTGAAGAAGAACTTTCCTTCAGCGTTAAGGAAGGTCCTACTTGGAATTTCAGGGATTTTTACACTCCCCAAAATGTTGGGGAAAAAATTGTCTCGTTTCCTGAGTTTCACCTTAAGAGTTTTTCCGACGGACCCGCTTCGAGGAGATTTCCTTGGAGGAATTGCGATGGGACTGGATGCAATCGGAGACATCCATGCAGGTGGGCTGGAAGCCCTGGAGATTTTAGTTATTTTTTTGGGTAAAAAATTCCCTCAGATACCCTCTGGTAATTTAACATAACTATGGAAAATCCCCATTTATAGTGAATTTTCCCATGAAAAATGGTGATTTTCCATCGTTTTTTGTATGTTTACCAGAGGGTATCCTCAATCCAGGCTGGTCAAAGAAAAATCTCCCACGATATCCATCGAAATCATTGGGGGGACTGGTGGCGCGACCCACGTGACCCGGATGGTCCTTGAGTCCGGCGACGCGAGCTGAGGATTTTTTCACCATTTTCAATAGGCAAATGGGCCATAGCTTCCTGGCGATGTGAAAAATATCCAGAAGGAAAGCCATGAAATCCCATGAATTTTGTCACCATTTTTACCCAAACGTCAATTAATTCCTACTTCAACCGCCATTTTTACATACCGGGGATAAGGCCAACAGGTCAAGACCCTGGTGTTCCCATGCATTTTTATCCCAAATCACTGGGATTTATGGATGTTCATCTTCTCAACATATCGATAAATCAGGTTTTGGACCATCCAATCTCTTATAATTAAGCCTTATATATCCCACTATGCCATTGTTCAAGCTTAGTTATATCCTCTTTTTGATCAAAACATATAAACTCTACTGATATCCCCCAAATTTGCTTCCAATACCTGAGCAAACTCACTGATTTCGTGAAGAATCCCTACACAACAAAGGAATACAAATGGTTTTTTGTTAGTTGGTTTATAACTCCATTAAGTATAGATATATTTAGTACACACCCAAGTTATTGGACTTATTCTTACCAATTGAATCCAATTTAGCTAACGAACTGGGGCACCAAACGGTTGTTTGGGGAAACCACCATAATTTTTTTGTTGTTAGTTATATAGTAAACAAAGACTGAATGTTTCGTCTCGAAAAAACAACTCCAGCGAATACCTCTTAAATGTTCTTCAACAAAATCCAAAGCAACAGATTCATCCTCTTGTAATTTAACATAGCTATGGAAGATCAGCACCTGTGTATTTTCAACTATTTTTTTTAAATAACTTTTTTTCCTAGATAACTCATTTATAAATGGGCAATTTTAGGCCATTTTCCATAGACAACCAGCTGTAGAGCTGGAGACGATCGGCCAGAGGGATCAGTGTCGCAGTCTACAAGAGTAGTTACTACCCCCCATTGCTTTTAGTAAAGTAGCACATTAGTTTAGTAAACCATGACATCTAATGTGTGTTATAACAAAACAAGTGATGAGTAGGTCTGTTTTGTTTTTTTCTTGTCTTGTTGATCTGCATATAATATATGGATTGAACTCGGCCGCCCAAGAAAGTGACAACCCCCAAATAGTATTTTTTTTGTCCTGACATGGTTCCCAAGGCATGCGATTTGGATCGATGTCAGTTGATTTCGTTTGGTTTCTGATTGGTTCTGTTGTCATCTCATCGTTTTTGTAACGTATAGTTTTTTGGAAAGCCCCTAAAGAAGCTTAAGGCCAGAATTGTCAAAGACTCCAAATAGAAAAACAACCCACAGTTAGGCCCCAACATGTCGCCCCAGTTTTGATTCTAGAAGATAGTGCCGGTGCCTTTCAGTTTTGTTGGAGTTATATACATGGAAACATTAGCTACTGCGATATTACCATAAACCCAGCCCTTAAAGTAATGACATCAACCTCCTGAGGTAACTAAATCATACTAAATCCACAGCTTGGCAGGTTAAATGAACAGTGTAAACAAGACCTTGTGTCATCCCTAAACATAGGGGTTGTTAAGAACGGATTTCCCGTAATGGATGATGATAATCCTCTTAATATCTTTTATATGAGTATATATTTTAATTATATATATATGTATTTATAGTTAAGTTATATATATGTGTATATATATATATCAATATAATTATTGGATAGTACAACTCCCTGTAATCAAGTAACATGGGTTTTGAGCACTGCTCCAATCACAATTTTATATCCCATTATATTCCCATCAAATCAGCATTTTTAGTACAATGTGAGGCCCTTCAACGACAGCTAAGTTGAATTATAAAAGCCCATTAACTATAGTTATATGGAGGTTTCCTAAGTCATGGCGGGTACCCCCAAATCATCCAAACATTAAATGCTTTTATGCTTTTTGTAAACCTATCGTGGCTTGTAGATCCCACATGTGCGAAAAAAAACCCTCCAGGAGCTTCAAGGGCTGCTGCGTCTGGCGCAAAACGCTTTTCGAGAAAAACGCAGCATGGGTGGTTGAAACCAGGGGAAATGCACCTGATTTAACCACCAAGAATATGGGATAAATGATGATAAATGTGTGTTTTTTCTTGGTTCGGATATGTAAATGCAACCAAACATAACCACCAATGGCTAGTTGGTGTGTAATTGTTACATGTTTTGTGTTCAGCGCTCAAGCATATCACTGATGATAAACGAGCAGAACGAGCATAGGGTTTTCAGCGGGATGAAATCCCCTCTTTACAACTGGAGGGCATCCCAGTCACCATATCTGGTTGGTGGTTTGGAACCTTTTTTATTCTTCCATATAATTATTCGGAATAATCATCCCGACTGACTAATATTTTTCAAAGGGGTTGAAACCACCAACCAGATATTGTAAGCCAGTTATATATCGAATGATTCGAATGTACGCAAATAACATATATGGATTACGTGATAACAACCTAGCAACTGCGATGCACCCCATTATTTTCCAATATGTCTAACCATATCCCAGCATCTATCCCCAATTCATGGTTCCATCTCCATTCGACCATAGTTATCCTGATGACATCCCATAACATCAGCATCTTGCATCATTTTGCCATAAGACGGTTAGTCAAAAGTCATATGAACCTCCATTAAAACACACTTACCCTCCAGTAAATTAACATAGACCCTGGTAGATAGGGGTTGGAATCACCATTCTATTCCTGGTTGGTGGTTTGGAACATGACTTTTATGACTTTCCCATCATATTGGGAATGTCATCATTTTTAATTGACTTTGATATTTTTCAGAGGGGTCGGTATACCACCAACCAGAAACACACTGAATCCCATGCTGAAGTCCTATGAAATCCCCACGTCTTCATCCCCTTCAGGCGGAGACGTGAAGGATCTGTCCATCATCGCATTTGGAGCCACCTGGCGATCGATCTTAGGACGCCATGGAAGCCATGGAAGGGTTGTTGGGATGCCACAAGGAATGGCTGTTTTATGCTGGGAAAATGCTGGGAAAATTATGACTTACTGGTGCTTAATTAGTAGGGAATGGACGGGTTGCTGGGGGTTGCTGGGATGATTATTGATAGTTAGCCAGTGGATCATTCCCGAAAATTCCCTGCTTAGCAACAGTAAGATGATTGAACGATAAAACAATGGATCTAGGGGTACACATGGGTACACTAGTTTCAGAGAAACCCACCTATTGAAAATGATAAGACCCATGATTTTCTGTAGCAACCTCTTGAATGTTAAAGTAACCCCAAAGTACAGATAGGAAAGTGGGAAATATGATGAACTACGTAGCAGCGTAGCAAAATATCATCGAACTCACCTCCTGGTGTTTCTTATGTTTCTTACTTTGTTTTTTTTTGGATTGCTAGGCAGATTTTTTATTTTGGGTTGTAGCAAACCACAATGTACATAGAACAATTGGAAATTTGGAAATGATGGAGGACACATTATCTATATATATATATACATACGTATATATATACGGCCTCTTGGATGGGATGACTTTTTTCGTATCTGATCGCGGCTTCGATGGGTTCTTCGGCGATGTGTTCGAAATACGGTGGGGTAACACGACACTTGGAAATCCCGGCACTAAGTGGTGTTTTTTCCATTTCTCGGAAAATCATGATATATCTATATTGTATATCTGGATGATTTTTTTAACGACCTCACATTGTTTTCCGTCACTGGGTGATGCTGAATGGATTTGGGAAATCATTTGGGGTAAAGCCACCATGTTTTCAAGAGTAGATCTTCTCTTAAAATCCTTAAATCCTTTCCAGTGAAGTTTCGTTTCTGGCAGAATCACCATTCTATTCCTGGTTGGTGGTTTGGAACATTTTTTATTTTTCCATTCAGTTGGGAATGTCATTATCCCAACTGACGAAGTCCATCATTTTTCAGTGGGGGCGAAAAACCACCAACCAGATTCTCACTGAAAAAAAATCTGTAGGTTGAATCCCTATGATATCTCCATTTCGGAAATGGGACGATGGTTTCCGCAGCCACCGACGTCAACAGGTCGTTGGTGGTTTGGTCTCCTTTTCCGTCACATTGCGTGATCTGATTCATGCAATGGGCGAGGAGTGACCAAAAAAACAGCAGCAGCTGGACAAGCCGCAGATGGACGTCTCAGTGGTTGCAAAAGCTGTTACTTGTGTTTAAGGAAACCAGCCACATGTTGAAAACTATGTTAAATGTAAGGTCGTACATGTATGATATATATATATAGATTATATCAGTTGATCTATCTTAAGTGTTGATTCTTGAATACTCATTGGAATTAAGATAGATAAGATAGATCAACTGATATTACAGTACCTAATTTTTGACCCATACCAAAGTGCTTAAAGACCCAGAGAGAGAAGTCAGATCATGTTGAGAAGATGCGCGCGCGCACCGCACCTGCACTGAAGATTAGAAGAGCAACTGTTGGTCCTTAAAATTCAGGGTATTTGCACCCATCATGTTAGTTTTATAGGTAAATATATGTTGAACATATGTAAAAAGATGTAAAAAGTAATATTACAGAGAATTGCTACAATCGCAGAATATTGTTCTGTTATACTCAGATTGCACTTTGATTATAGGAAAAACGATCCTCTAAACCTTTCAGACCCTTGGGGTGGCATCGGCCACCGTAACATAGGGGTCCCAGGTGCCCATTTTTCTCCCAGTTAGACCATGGGATATCATAGCGGCAGGTTTCAAAGGTGCTGCTTACTTCGGTGCAGCCTTCACATTTCGTGCAAGCTGGGACAAATACATAACAGTTCTATACAGTTCTTTGCTTTTCAATGCGTTTGACATGTTTGAGATATTTTCATATATTTTCCGATTTCTCACAAAACGCCTACCCTCTAGTAAAAAATGCTCCATGGCTTGCTGGAAAATCCACCAGCAATAGTTCGATGAGTTTCCGAGGAGGATCAACTGCCATGTTTGATTACTGCAAGGGTAAATGGACAGTGTTATCCCAACTGAGCAGTGTTCAAAACCTTGGTTGGTTGATGATAGCGGATTATACTACCCTTCATATTAATTGGGAATTATAGTAATCCAAGAACGGGGAATCCCGAAAAAAACCAACCAGTACAATGGAAAGACAGAGGGATTTTGAACACTGCTCAAATGTTTATTGTTAAATCAAGTCAAATCACATTGAATCACCATTTATCGATTCCGATGTTAAATCACCATTGAATACCATTGATATTTCAGCAGTCCATATATTTCCAGGAACATCTTCGCCAGCAGCCCCAGGCCGACGGTGCCTCAACCTGTAGCCATTGCGGCTGGTTTAAGGGAACAAAACTCAGGAACCAAAAACATTTAATGTAGATTGTTATGCTTGCTTCCTCTTAAATGCTTATAAAACCTTCGATATTGAGAATTCCTATGGTTTCCAGAAACCAAATCCTTCAAGCCATCCAGTGAAACCGAAACTCACTGCATCTGCTCCGCGCGGCCGCCATGACCTTCGCGCAGAGCTTGGCCCGAAAAGCCGATGACTTCGAGAAGAAGTTGGAGGCCCAGGAAGCGCTGGAGATACAAGCCTGGGATGCCTGGCATGAATGGGGTACCCTCTGGCTATTTAACATAGCCATGGAAAATGGCCCATTTATAGATGATATACAATGATTTAGCTATTGAAAATGGTGATTTCCCATGGCTATGTTAAATAACCAGATGGTACCAGTAACTGGTAGCCGTTTGCTGAAACACTTTTTGATAGCTAAATCAAAACACAAAAAGACCAGAAATTCCATTGCAACTGTTAGGTTACTGGAGGGTATGGTATATTATATATTATATATATGTTTGTTTTCAACTGGTATTGTTACGCTATTGTCTTTATTCTTCTTATCGTTACTATTATTATTTTCATTTATCATGGTTATTCCTTTTTTATTGGTATTATTATTATTATGGTTACTATTACTGTCAGTGTAATTGTGAATATTATGGCCATCAGTTTGTCTATGTTCTTTTCCATTTAGTGTTATCATCATCACGAGGCCTCCACCTGTTTTGTTTTTGGGCGAAGCATTGGAATGGTGGAATGTTGATAGATTCTGTAGGTAATCACTAAAAAAAGAATGGGACAATGGGTGGCAGAGACGGGACTTTTACATTTGATATACATTGGTATTGGTATGGTATTGTTATGGGGGAGGTAACCATTTGGGGAATTTATCGTTGTTTGCACAACTTACTGGTTCACCCGAGTATAGGCAGCCAATAGCGAAGCTCCGGGGATAGCTTGTTGACTTAGCAACTGAACTTGGGGATGGTTCATAGTTTTGGGTTTACTACATCATTCATGTGGTTGGTCAAAATGTTGGTACCCACCTTGTCGGTACCCTTTGTCGGTCATAGCTGGTGCTTGATGGTTCTTCCCCTATGGCCACCGATTTTGACCCATCCCCAGAAGGCGGTGTGTAGGTCGAACATGGCGAAACATTCCAGGGTTCTGGGTAAACCCTGGCTGTTTTGTACCCTTGGTATTTGACATACATAGCTATGGGGAATTACCTATTTACTCTATAGATACTGTTATCTACCCATGAAACCTGTTGATTGTCCTCAATGCTCAATAATCATCCCCAGTTCAATGATTGTCACCATGATCCCCAGTAAGTTAACATAACGATATGGGAAACAAGTTGAAAAAAACATGTTTTTCATCATGAAACGATCCCCAAGTTTTTGTTTTCATATGTTCCCCAATTTTCCAATATGTTTGCCATCTTTTCTGCAAACAATATCGCACTTTTCCTCAGCATTCAGGCCGCAGAAATGCTGGATCGCATCAAGGAGCGCTGCATTCGCGCCAGTGCGCAGGGCCACTACGACTACAGCTGCGTGACCACCGTGTGTGAGGAAGCACGGAAAGGAAACCGTGGCTGGGTATGGCGTGGTATGACTGGGTCGAATCCCTTTCCCCCGGGAAATATGAAACACCAAACGAAACCATGGTGGATGTACAGGATGGGGCCCCCAAGATAGCTAAGTTGCCTTATAAATGGCTGAATTCTATGGTTTATGGCAGATACAACTATAGTATTCATAGGGTTTATAAACCAAACATAACTGGAAGGCACCATCCTGTAGGGCATGAAACCACTTATTTGTGGGGGGTTATCCCTGGAAGGTTGCTGGATTGGATTTAGGGACAAATTACAACTGGTTGGTGGTTTGGAACATGTTTTATTTTTCCATATATTGGGAATAGTGATAATCCCAACATGTTTTTCAGCGGGGTAGGTATACCACCAACCAGATTTGTTCCATAGATTTTCTTCCAAACCGAGACATCGGATGATGATCCCCATTGACTTCTGTTAAGCCGCAAATTTGATGGTAAAACTCATATTTTCCTGGAGGATTAGAACCACAATTGTTGAATATTTTTGACGGCGAAACCACAACGCACCACTTTTTACCAGAAAACCATAAGTTTCAACGGTAAAAGCCATATGATTTGTGATGGCAAAACCACAATATTGGTTGGTAACACCAACAGTTTTCATGGCACTACACCATTTTTTGATGGCAAAAGCATCATTTCTGATGGCCACACCAACATGTTTGATGGTAATTAGCAGATTTTTTGCTGATCTTCGGGTAGTTCACCAGGTGGCCTGGCGAAGAAGCTGTTGGATCAACATCTGCGTGGTTTGGGTTTCAACCGAGTAAGCGTGGCCGCAGCAAGTCCTGCGGACATCAGCCATTTGAGACCTGGAGAGGTGAGACATGGTGGTGTGGGACCTGGTAAACTAACAGTTTGCTATAGAAAATATGGCCCATTTAGATATTTAGTTCGTTGATTTAGCCACGGAAAATAGTTGTTCCAGTTCGCAAACTGTAAACGACCAGAGTGTACCTGATGGGTGTCTGGTGAAATCAAGAAATGGGGGATCAACGAAAGCATACCGAAGCAATCTATGGAATCTATGGATGGTGACATGATGGGGATATTATGGGATATTCAGATAAAATTATGGATATATACTGTAACCAGCAATAGGATTTTGGGTCTGAAAATGGGGTAAGCCCCCTTCCCCGCAAATAGCGTTTTAGTGCAGGAAATGACAACCTATTTTTGGACAAATCATGACAAATTCGAATAGTTTACAGTCTACTGTGTAAATATAATATTACCCTTTGGTAAACTAACATAGCTATAGAAATTGGGTGATTTATAGTTGAGTTACCTGTTGAAAATGGTAATTTTCCATAGCTATGTTAGTTTACTGGAGGGTAACAATGATGTGCGTTCAGTGCGAACCAAGTCCCGACCCCTTCCCAAATAGACGCGAAGAATGAAAGCTTTGTACCTTGCATAGATGTCCTTTTCCCATTGGTTGTTTATTGGAGGGGTTTGAAGAAATCTTCAAACCCCTTTAACAACAGGTAAATCATGATAGATGGGATTAACCAGCCCCCGGCCCCTCTATTTTGACCAAAAAGGACATTATTGGTACCTTGGCGCCAGGTGTGTTTCCGCACTGAAGTCTCGTGGAAGTTGGTTTCGCGAATTGCGATATCGACCACGGCAGAACCCGCAGCGAACTCCTGGCTAAGTCGATGGGTTTGTACAGGGGGTAAACCGGAATGCCAATGATAGTATGGTGATATCATGGGTTATTGAACCAATATGATTTTGGGTGTGAACATGAGGTATACCCATAAAATTGACATTTCATGGGGAAAATGATCATCAACCATGGGATTTAGATGGATTTAGGGGTACTGTATTCAATTTCAGACAAAGCCAAACGGTGGAGCCTCATTTTTCTGCCATGTCAATTTATTGTTACTTGACTTCGGGGTACCCGATTTTTGACAAACCCAGATGATGCTGTTTTTTTTCCCTTAAGGCTAATCCATGTGGGAATCTGCCGGGAAAATAATGTAATACTGTATATATATATATATATTACATACATACATACACACACATACAATACATTTCTTCGTGTTTACTAGGTCAATCTTACATGGGAATATCTACATGTCCCAGCAAAGAATTTGTCATTTTTTGCAGGGGATCTGGCTGATTGGCAATGCTTATGTATTCATTTATTTACCCTCTGGTAAACTAACAATGACTAACATAGCTATTGAAAATGGCCATTGAAATAGTGAGTTGTCCCATTAAAGATGGTGATTTTCCAGTTCGTTATGTTAGTTTATGTTAGTTTACCAGAGGGTATTCATGTATAGTCTTCATGTTTGTTCATGACCCCCAATTTATATCCCCGCGTTGGATAAGGGGAACGTCGAAGCAGGGTCCACCCTGGGAAGATGATCAAGATGATCAAGTCCCCAACGGTGAACCTACAGTGAAAGATTATGTGGGGAATAGTCTGTTATGGTTATCATACCCTCTGGTAAACTAACATAACTATGGAAAATCACCATTTTCAATGGGAAAATCCACTATAAATGGTCATTTTCAATAGCTATGCTAAATTACCAGAGGGTAATACTAATGGTTGGTGGTTTCAAACATACATTTTTTATTTTCCATCGACGAAGTCATATTTTTTTTCAGAGGGGTTGGTTGAAACCACCAACCAGATACTTACATAGATTATAGTTTGTGTTCATTAATGAGAAATTACTGGAAGAGTCATGTGTTTTATCTTTTTGGGGGTGACTCAGTCACGAGCCAAGAAAGACAAATAATTTTGAAGCTGATTGGTGGTTTGGAATGTCATCATCCCAACTGACGAAGTCATATTTTTCAGAGGGGTGGCTCAACCACCAACCAGGAACTATTGGTTTGTCGGTCAGCAAATCCCATCAAATCCCATGGAAAATCTTCCCCATGAGAAGCGTCGGGATCGGGGTAATCCCCCATTTTGAGGTAGCACCCCAAAGTCGTACTGTCAGTGAGAGAGATATATATATTATATATAATATATTATGTATAATATAATATATATATAATAAATATATATTATAATATATATATATATATATAATAAATATATATTATAATATATATATATATTATATGTACGTATCCATTATATTCCCATGAGATCACTAATTACTTCTATATTCATATCCGCCTATTACTTTTAATTTATTGAAAGGATTATAATCAATCAACGCATTGATTTCAGCTCTAAGGAAGCGCTTGAAAGGCTACCTTGGGAGGTGCCAACTTTGCGAAGAGAACCGCTCCATGATCGCCTTAGCACCCTGCGGACACGTTTTATGTGGGGAGTGCAGGCAGAAGCAGGCGAGTCTGGGGGAAGTATGTTGTCCTGGGAAACCACCTGGATGGTCACTTGAGTACATTTCAGTACTAGTTTTGTTTTGTAAATGGGGGGGTTCCTAAGTCATGTACCCAAAAATCCGGGTCATGGATAACCATGACTGAGTATTGAAAGTGGTGACTTGAGGATCCCCTATTTTTATCAGAGACCCACAAATGGCGATTGGCTATCTGTCTCTGGGTAAATCACAGCAACCAGCAACCGAAACCTCGGCCGGTGAAAAACCACCACGAATGATGGGGTCAGGGAGCTCTCCCAAAGACACATCAGAATCATCAGTTGCAATAGATGTATAATGATATAATTAATGATATATGTATATATATATACACGTGTATATATACATATATACGTATATATATATATTACACATATCACCGAGAAAATGAAGGTTTGTTATTGATCCGAGTTAATGGCAATTTTTAAAGGGGTAGATGATTTTTGAAAGACACTGGGTAGAATGGCTTAGCGGCTTAGCCCAAAGGGTTTGGAGATCTTTTGTCAGGCTCGGAGGGACCAGAAGTGCCCCTTTTGTCGCCAAGTGGTAGTCTGTGTGACGGAGGGTTTGTTCCTGAGCTGACGAAAAAAATGGCTGGTGGTTTTCAACTTGGATAATTTGACATCCTTCTGGTCCAAAGATAGGTTGATGATCCCCAGTGACTTTCATTGTGGGCTGGGATGTTTTGGTTTCATGGAAACCACCAACCAGCTTCAGAACGCTGTGAGAAATCGAATCTGTGAGCAAGCTGCGGCCATAGTGACCGCTAGAAAATCGTAGGACCTTATTTCTATACAAAGACTAGGAGGTGGTTCACGGAAATTGTGTTTAAGCAAAGGACACAGTGGTTTGAATAAATCGTGTGAGAATCAACTAAACAAAATCATCGTAGAGTGTGTTTATGACCCAATTATGACATCAAGTGACATCTTGGATAGCTGAAGTCATGTGTATTCATTTGTCATATTTAACATAAGTGACAATCAATTATGACAGTCAATTATGACATCAATTATGATAATCAATTATGATAATCAATTATGACTCAGTGGTTACATATTGATACAATTTGATTGTCACCACTGAGTCATTTGATGCTTGGGATGGCTGAAATGCCACCAGAGCGTTAACGTTTTCGTGGTACGCCAGCCCGGCGGTAGGCTGATTTGAGTGTCGTGCCTGTCAGAGTTGGGGACTGGATGTCATACTGTGGATGCGCCAGCGAAATCCTGCACTTGTTGATAGGTGGTAAACATCCCATTATTTAATATTATTTATAGGATTTCAAGCATAGGATTTCGCATCCACATTACAAACCATAGGCATTCAGCTGCAGTGGTGATCTGAATGGAATTTGCGCCCCCATAAGTTGGGACATGGGATCCGCAGGTGTAAGTGGAGCTGGGGCACTGCTCAATTCCAGAGCGCTGGGGGGCTTCAAAAACCGCTTTGGAGGTGATTACCCTCTGGGAAACTAACACAACTATGGAAAATCACCATTTTTGATGGGCAAATCCACTATAAATGGCCATTTTCAATAGCTATGTTAAATTACCAGAGGGTAAGTCAAACATTGACCACTTGGTTGTTGTTCGGTGGTTTCGAACATGTGTTTCAACACGTTTCAACCATACTTGGGGATATTTTGGGGATGGTTTTTGCCCCGAAGATCCCCGAAGTCTCATATGGTGAAAACCACCGAGCCCTGTCTGGATGGCTTGAAACCACCGAGCAGTTTCCCATGTCAGCTGCACCACACGGTGACTCGCTAAAAAGCCGCCTAATGCCTGGAGTTGTTTTTTTTGACAACAGTACTGCACACATGATTACACTGTATGCGTGTGTGTATGTATGTATATATATATATATGCATATACATTTATCATTTATTGTAAACATGTAGTGTATATACAATATCATAGTAGATGTATATTTACTTCAGGCATCATGTGATACATGACATGTATTGTATTACACACTATTTACACATCAGATGTTCTTTACACTGTATACTCAATGGTTTGCAACAGAGCTATAGCCTATAAGCCCCTAGCACTGGGATCAAATGTTGGGAGTATTTCTCACTTCGTGACCATGCAAGATCCTGCGCTAAAAAGTAGGGACTATATTCCTTGGGACATCACGCATCTCTCACAATACCTTGGGGGTGCAGTTGGGCTTATTCATAGGTATCATGATTGTAAGAACACCACCACATGTTCAATGGAGTGGTTTAAGGGAAAATCTACAGGAAACCATCGATTTTCCCATTAAATATGGGGCTTTCCTGTAAAATTGACATGTGATATACCCCTGTTAAGTATGGTGATATGTTCAGTCACAGATGGAACTGGAGCCATTGGGGTTTAATCTTGTGATGCAAATTGTATGCCCCGAAATGGTGTGTTTTTTTTCTAAAGTCTTTTTCGGCAAATTGTGATCATTTGTTGCAATTGGAAATGCACCAGTCTTAGTCCAACCTGGAGGAAAGTAGAACACTACTTGTCTAACTCTTGCTGGGTGTCCAACAACTATGTTGAGATTTAATTTTGAATGTCTCGCAATAGTTTGGTTTACCTAGGTGGCCTCAACTTTTGGGCGATGAACCAGAAAAAAGTGCCACCAGAAAACGGCGTCCATGCTGAAACCTCCGGTTCCTGCAGTTGCGGTTCAAGAGGGGGGGGGCGCCCCCCCCCCAGCCCCTCTGCGCCCGATTTTTCACCGGAGGTTTTTCAAGGAAACTCCTGGACAGCCCCCTAAGTGACGAGCATAAGTCTACCCCAACTTCAAAGAACTAAGAACACACCACTGCACCGATGGCATCATTGGGTGTCCTTTTTACGCCCCGTGGGGATCCTTTGACGGGGTCAAAAGGGGTTGCTGGGGTCATCTCTAAAGTTGTGAATGGTTGGTCACGACCCAATATGTACTGTATATGATTGTATATACATATATGTCAGTATATATTTCATATGTTTGTAAATATGTAATATGTTTGTATACGTATGTATATATATATATATTATAGCTATATTATTTCTATGTTTGGATATATACACAACGTTTCATTTATTTACATAGTGTCAGGATCGAAAATGGTGATTTTTCATAGTTATGTGGCTGTTTACCAAGAGGGTTAGTGATGGGTTGATAATGGTTTATAAATGGTCAACTATCATTAAATTAATTGATGATGGGTTATTGTTGGTCGATTAGTGGGGGTTAATGATGGGTTAATAGCCGGTTAACAATAAATACTGGCAGTTAAAAAAAACCATCTGCTGTCATCAAACGTGGCTTGAAAATCCCCGAACCAGCCATGGAGGTTTTCGCTGGGAAAATCCCTCGAACTATTGCTGGTGGATGTTCCAACGCGTCATGTGATGAAAAAAATTGGGGAGTTCTTGAGATTGGGTTGATACACAACCATTGAATTACCATTGATAATTACAAGTACCCTCTGGTAATTTAACGTAACTATTGAAAATCACCATTTTTAATGGGAAAATCCACTATTAATGGTCATTTTCAATAGCTACGTTAGTTTACCAGAGGGTATCTCATTTTGGACACAAAGCTTGGACGCATTTTAGAGCCTCCCATGACACGTCACCATCCCAATTTTTTTCGTACCATGGCCATGGAGCATGTGGGTTGAACGCAGAATAAATCCACACACAAAGGCATGATCTTGTTCAAAATTAGCATGTATATTATTATTATTGTTATTATTATCATTATTATGATTGTTATTGTAGCATGTTAGAGCTATTGGTATGACTGATTTTGTTTTAAACATAATTTAATATAATAGTATTGAATGTTATCATTTATCACATTTACAGATGACCATAATAAACAGTACATGCCTGAAACCCAAATTTCACAGAATTCGAACGGGAAATTGCACAGCAATTTGGAGGCACTGTATTTGAAAATTGTTTTCATATAAATTCACTTTTCAAATTTTCACTACACTTCCCCTGAATATATTGTATGTTTTTTTTTGGTGATTTTTAGATAGATTTACTATATTTGGGGTGGAACAACACCATAGTTTCCTGTATGCCCCGCCAAGGTGGATGGAGTGCGCTTTCCCAGGGACGAATTGACGAATTCTTCTGACAGAGTCTGACAGAGTCTGTCAGCGGAGCTGGAGATATAAACGGCGTGCACTTTTTCAACATCTCAACTTCCAAAAGTGTTCTGAACGTGGTGTGTTTTGTACATTTTGACTTCGACATGTGCTTCGTGCCACAACGGCTCGCACTTTTTCGTCATCTCAACTTCCAAAGTGCTCCGAAGCTGAGGTGCTTTGTACATTTTGACTTCGAAATGCGCTTCGTGCCACAACGGCGTGCAATTTTTCATTTCTCATCTGGACAGATTGCTCCGCACCCGCCGCTTTAGCGAGCCTACTTTTCGACCCTCCAGAGCCACAAATCATTTAACAAAAACACAGTGTTTCGCGACTTTCCTACCTTTTCGCGCACCTGGATCTTCTTTCTTCTGACTCTTTCTCTCCTCTGATCTTCTCTCCTCTGATCTTCTCTCTTCTCTTCTCTTCTCTTCTCTTCTCTTTTCTGACTCTTCCCGCCTCTGCTTTTCCATCTGTCCATATTGTCGGAAGTTTGACTTCTAAACTTCCTTTGCTTACTATTAATAGTGGTATTATTAATAGGGGAATTAATAGTTAGGCGTTAATATTGGTAGGGGTTAATAGGGGTTACTATTAATCGGGGTTACTATTGTATGGTATAGTATAGTGTATCTGATACTATTTTAGGGGGTTGATTAACATACTGAAGCACATTGATGATCATCATTTGATATTATCGACGATACACCTGTTGGTTGATGATTGAAGGGGATTGCATGGGGGGCTAACAATCATTTATATGCATTTGAACCAATAGATATTGCGATGTATGTGATATTATTGGTGAATGATGATTTGTTTTTTTTGGCCGGGGTTGCATTATCCTATCATCATCCATGAGCTGGAAATCTTGTCCTTAACCAAACAGTATGGTGAAATGACAGTTTGTTTGAACATTGCTCAGTCAATCAATAACAGTGGGTTAGCCACGATTATTAGGAACATTTTGTGTTGAGTAGGTTACTGGGGTACCCTCCGGTAATCAAACGTGGCAATTGAAAACCCACAGTTTATGGATGTTTTTCCCATTTAAACATCAATTTATAGGAGATTTCCAGCCAGCCATGTTTGATTACCAGAGGATATTATTATGATGTAATTATGTGTAAAAAAACATGCCTGAAATGGAGGAGGAGTCACTACACCAGCAAAGAGGTTGGCCAGGCAACGTGCGGAGATATCTCAACATATCCATGGGGATTTTGTCAACCAAAGTTGATGAACAAATTGCCATGGACCAAAATGCGGATGTCATCTACGAATGCGACAACAAACATAGAACCCACAATTCTGAATCATTCATTCATTATGTGTAAAGTGGGGTTTATGTTTGTCGGAAATTGTGAGGATACTTCGTCTGATACAAAGACATGCGGCGTACCTAGTCAGGTGGTCAATTCACCTAGTCAGTGTTGATCCACAACCAAAATTGTTGTTTACTGAAAATTCTTCAT